GACCCGGTTAGCTGTTTTTAGGCACGTCACGAGGAAGCCAGAGGTGGGCCATCCGTCAACGCCGACGGGAGGTCCGTCGGTCCGTCACTGACACTCGCCCATTTTGCTGACGACTGACGGAGACGCGCCACGCCCTGTCTCGGGCGGTTGTTCGCGGGGCTGAATACAAGCAGGAGGGAAACGCTTTGCGCTTCCCGCGTGGAGCTCTGATACGACAATAAATGCAGACGACAACAAAGAGCATTTTTCGACGCGTGTCGAAGTATGAGGCGCTTGGATTGGATTTCCTCCCCCTTGGCCGCAATGCGGCGCGAGATTCTGGTTGAGGCAAGCCATTTGGGCGCTTTAGGAGTTAAAACAGCGGCAGGCGGCCACTTGTGTGCTCTCGCTTTACTAAACAGTTCCCGAGCTTGGCAAATAAGTGGATATGAAAAGTATTCCAAGTGTGTGTCTGTAAAGCTCTTCAGGTAGCCACCGGTGTTGTCATGATTCTGTTTGTGACCAACAGGTGGCACTGTCGGGCTCTCCCTGCAGCTGCGCACCTGTTGGTCGTTATGTAATTCGTTTGTTTGTTTAAAAGGGACTCCCGGCACGGCCACTCGCTGTCGGGTCAACGTTTGTTTGTTTGCTACTGTCATGTTTCTGTGACTGTTAGTTTTTTTTTTTTTTTTTGCTTCAGTCATGGTTTTGGTTTGCTACTTTGGATTCTTTTTGTTTTCGGGACTTTGTTTGTTTAGGGTTTAGTTTTCTGTGTTTTTATGAATACAATTCATCAAGTACACCCTCCGCTCCTCCCTCTTGCCTGCTTTTTGGGGTCCACCGCCACCTCCACCACGCAACGTGAGACGTATGATGCGGATATGCTGATGAATAGCGCACTCCATTTGCCATGTTAATCACATTGGATGTTTTTTTTTTTTAATCTGTTACACTATGATGGGTCCCCCCCCTTTTTTTCTCTTTTATGGTCGGTATCAGCGGTCCCTTCGAAGCACCCAATGCCATCGGACAGCAGTGCCCAAGTCCAGTCCTCGAGAGCCGCCGTTCAGCCCTTTTGAAACGTCTCCCTTCAAGCGGGGCGCTCGATGGAAACGCTCGGCTCATCGGCAAGCTCTGAGAGGCCCGAGAACGATGATCCCGATCATTGCGATTGAGTGGAGGGAGACATCGAAAACTTGGGCAACCCCGCCTTCATAAATCTCTTCATTTCAAGACACGAGATCGACTCTGTGACGTTTTATCTTCTTAGACAATACAGTGTGGATGCTGGAATGGATTAAACACATTTCAGTTCATGGGCCAAAGTCATTTTGCAAATTAAACTGGGGGGCGGGGGGTGCAAACCCAAAGAAATCCCCGTTTTCTGGAGGTGGGGGGGGGGAATCCCCCAGTTGTCTCCCAAATAACAATTGTGGCACGGCTCCGTCGACATTCCCGACGGTGTGGGCAAACAAGAAAAGCAGTAATCCCTGGCCAGCGCTGATTGGCCGGGCTATTTTTCTCAACGGCTTCAATTAGCCTCCAGCTTCTGGGTAAGCCGATCCCTCAAACAGCCACCATGATAGTGTCTGCGGCGAGCCCCGTGTCGCATATTGTCGCCCGTCCGTTCTGAATGTGGGCGGGGGGGTGATGTCTTTCCCCCCCCCCTCCCTGTGTGAGGTGAGGCATAAAACTAACACTCAGTGTCTTATGGAGGAGGGCGGGGGCGGGGTGGTAGCTGGGTGGGGTGCGGTAGGGTGGACCCGTCTGAGAGGATCCTCCTATTGAGTTGCAAATGAGCTTGTAATTAGCCTTTACACATTTGCCTGGAGGGATTAAGTGTGCGTGTGTGTGTGTGTGTGTGTGTTTTGAACCCATTTTCCCTGCCACGGTGTTAAGCAGATCATCCTAATTACTTCTCCTCCCAATTGCTTGTTAATTGTCTTCACTGAGGATTTATGCAGCATGCTGAGACCACCACGCACAGGCGCAGACCCCACTCGGCCCCTATTGGCAAAATCATTTGTTGCGGTCGTCGCCGTCGTCGTCGGGAGGCTCCAGTTGAAGCCACTCGTGCGTGACGCCAAGCGGGCCTCCACGCCCGACGCTGACGACAAATGAGTTTTGTTTGTATGTTGGGGAAAAAAAAGGGGGTGAGGAGGGTGCCGAAGAGTGCAGATGTTCCGATGATGATGATGATGATGATAATCTGCTTTGCCGTGGATCATCCTTGACCTGACGGCAACCTCCTCCGAGTCTCGGGCGACAAAGGTGGCTGAATGAATTGATCTGCGCGCTCTTTGGCGCGTGATCCGTCCCCGGCTCTCTCGATCCATGTACGCTGAGGCTAATCGTCCAAACAAGCCGATGAGCTGCGTGTGTCACCTCAGGGTAGGGAAGGGAAGGCTCCCCCCCCCCACTCCACCCACATCACCCCACCCCACCCCAGCCCGGTCCTCTAATCCTTCTTCAAACTAGCGCAGGGCTGCTAATTGCACGCCGCTATAAATACCTCCCGAGTCCAGGCGGCCCTGGCTTTTTCCGCCACAGCGGCCCCCCGCGCAGCATCTCTCCCTCGCCTCCTCCTTGACTTGCGACATGTTCCCGCTGCCCATGTTCACGGGCGAGCAGGTGGCCCGCGTGTGCGAGAACCTGGAGGAGACGGGCGACATGGAGCGCCTGGCTCGCTTCCTGTGGTCCCTGCCGGCCGGGCAGGCCCTGAACCGCCACGAGTCGGTGATGCGCGCCCGAGCCCTGGTGGCCTTCCACAGGGGCAACTTCGAGGCGCTCTACCAAATCCTGCAAAGTCACCGCTTCACGCGGGAGTCTCACGCCAAGCTGCAGGACCTGTGGCTGGACGCGCACTACCGGGAGGCCGAGAGGCTCCGGGGGCGACCGCTGGGTCCGGTGGAGAAGTACCGCATACGCAAGAAGTTCCCTTTGCCCCGAACCATCTGGGATGGCGAGCAGAAGACGCACTGCTTCAAGGTAACGTCGCCGCTGGGATGTTTTGCGAAGCTACCGTTTTATCATTGCCGCTGGTTTGGACGCATCGAAAGCCGAAGGATTTGGCCACCGACTGCCATCGGAAATCAAGTCTCACGCCCTCCCCCTGCCGCCAACATTGCGGCCTTTGCATTTTGAAAATTGCATTCTACGCCAATTTGAATTTGATGAACGGTTCCGTGTCAAGAACATTTGCGGAAGGCCAACTTCACAGAGGCGACAAAAGCACTCGCGCTCTCAAGCTATCGAAGAGCTGACACGACACGGTTGCAATTCAATCCGGGACGCAGCGCCACGATCACAGAAAAAAAAAAAAAATGCCGACCTTCAATCGCATCTGAAGGAGAGAAAAAAAAAAAAAAACCTTCCCTCGAGTTGTGAGCAAGCTCTGGCCTATCCCCGCTGATTTCGCAACGCCACCGTGGAGGGTTCCGACCTGGGTTCTCAAAAAAGTTTTTTTTTTTTTTTTAATTCAGGTAGCTTCAATCTACGGAAGAGGATTAGGGCCAATGAAGAAAAAAAAACACATTTGGCAAGATTCTCACTTTTATTTCAGAATTCTGACTTTAAAGTCTGAATTCTGAGATTAAAATGAGGTTCTTGCCAACCTTGTTTTTTTTTTTCTTCATTGGCCCTAATCCTCTTCCGTATTAATCAGTTTTGAGGAAAGGCTTTTTGGGGAAAATGATTTATTTCAGTCGATATGAGTTTCAGTTTTTTCCGAGTCACAAAGTATTGTGCAATAAAGTGAAGTCAACTCCAATTTTCAAACAAGCGTTTGACCTTCCTTCCTTCCGTCCGCTGATCCCATTAAGTGGAGAGTCAATGACTTTGAGGGCCTTCTTCCGGAAAGCTCCGGCCTAATACGACAGGCAACATTCAAAGTGCACCTGAACACGGGAAAAGAAAATGATCTCGCATGTGAAAATGTCGACGCGCATCTTAATAAAGGTTTGATAATGAGCGGCGCTCTCCATCAGATCGCAAAGAGTCCAATCGCCGATCGGTGGCCGCGCTTCTTCCCGTCTTGTTGGCGTCTTTGTGCCGAGGCTCCCCGCCGGACTAAGTCCCGGGCTTCCGTGCGAACAAAAGTAGCGCTCTGCTCATCGACGCCGCAAGACGGGAGCGATGGCGTAAACCTCGGTCGGGACGCTTTCAAACTCCGCCGAGGTATTTGCCAATCCCCAGCAGGGCTCGGCCGCCTATGAGCTCTTCTGTGGCGCGGCGACGATCAAGTCGGACCAAAATAGCCAGTTAAGCTCATGTGCAATAAGCCAACAACGGGCTATTTTTAGCCCGGCGGTTTCATCTCTCAATTTCACCCTAAAATGTCTGGGTTCAAAATGACCTTTGAACCCATGCAATCAATAAACGTCAACATCAATGAATGATGAGCACTCCGAGATCTGATGAAACGCTCTCGGGGGCACCCCCCCCCACACCCCCCCGGGGGTTCCGACTCTCCTTGCGCCTCGGGCCGGCTCCGGGCGAAACCCGTAAGTTTACGGCCTCTTCCTCGTTTGCCACTAGGAGAGGACGCGCAGTTTGCTGCGAGAGTGGTACCTCCAAGACCCTTATCCCAACCCGTCCAGGAAGAGGCACCTGGCCCAGGCCACGGGACTCACGCCCACCCAAGTTGGCAACTGGTTCAAGAACCGGCGCCAACGAGACCGCGCCGCCTCCGCCAAGAACAGGTGAGTGAGTCGGCGTTGGCCCGAGAGAGCTCCTTCCTTTCACCATGCGCACACGTCAAGAGTTGGGAGGAAAAAATGCAGCACCGCTTTGATTTTATATATGGATATAAAAACAGGACAACATCAAGCGTCACCCCACCGGATTTTTTTTCTTTTGAAAGGGCTTTTGTCCAAATCTTGCGACTGCGCCATGGGTCAGTTGAACACAAGGGCGGCCCCGGTTACGGCGTGACACTCGGAAGTAACTGAACAACGGTCACCTTATGACTCCGGTTTTTCCTTTCCTCGGTTCTGAATGCGGGGAAGAAGGCACCGTATATATGCGGCCCTCAAACAAAAATGTTTGGACACCGCTGGTGTGAGCCGATCCGAAGTGAGCTCACGCTGCCCACAGGCCGACAAATCAGAGCGGGGGCTCGAGCCCCCGATCGGAGACGAGTGGGGCCTGTCAACCCGCAATCATTTTCACAGTGGTGATTGTATGGCAAAATCGCCCCCCCCCCCACGTGCCCCTAGCGGTATGCTGGACGTCTGCTACCCGATGTGCAAGCTATTGGGTAACGGGGGATGGATGCTCAGGAAGTTCGGCTCGACTCAGAAGAGAAGCTTCCACTCGATTTCGATTGGCACTATGTACTCTTCTTTGTCTTATTCTTATTTTCAAAGCCAGACGACATAAAGTACATCATAAACACCAATTGATAGGAAAGGCGACGCACGCAGTTTCATTCAACCTTCATTGGACCGCAGTGATCCGACCGCGAGTGAATCGCATCGTCCATCGTGGAGGTTGAACCACACTTCAACAATTCACAGGCCAACTTTCGAGGGTCCGCAGGGAGGGTCCGAGTGTTGGAAAGGAAATGTGGCGAATACGTGAATGGGCTGTGAGGAAGATGCGAGGGCAAAAAAAAAAAAAAAAAAAAAAAAGGAAGTAAGGAATGGAAAGGGCTGCACTAAGACGCAGCCTCCTACCAGCCAGCCTGAGCGGAGCAGTTAAGGTTGACTTTGGGTTGAAAAATCCAGGCGCCGCCTCCAGGCTTCAGGCCCACGCTGAGCTCAGAGCTCGCCGTCAGACATGACCTGCATCAAAACAGGTTCGATTCAGAATCTGGGATGGAACAAGAAAAGCCCCGTTCACACGGCAACGTTTGGTCCGACGCAGCTCCGAAATAAATCCAGTCGAGCGTTCACATGTGCACATTTGCTCCGGCGTAGCTCCACTAAAGAGCTTATACCGGACCAAATTTGATCCACCTCAGGGAGGTGGTTTAAAAATTTGCTCCAGAGCAAATGCTCGTTTGCGACGCTACGCCGAAACAAATGTGCACGTGTGAAC